AAAATAATAATATAATAAAGTGTAGAATGAAAAAATGAGTACACAACAAGAACTTAGAGCCTCCAAAATAAGTGTACAATCAATTGTTGATATAGCTGTACACTTTACATAAAATTGGTGACGTGGCTATACACTTTATATAAAGTGTGGAATGGGATAGCAACACAGCGCTGGGGTTACTCTTATAGGCCCAAAAATTCTTTCACTAAATAATCCTGTAACGACCCAAATCCACTGGATCCGGATCATTAAACGGGTCCTTACACGACCCAAAATTATCCAAGGGTATTATGGTCCTTTCACGTTAAATTTGCAAATTTAAGTCCAAAAAGGACAAGATGGTACTTTGCCTCAATTCAAATGGTTTGAAACTCAAAGGGGCACAATAGTCATTTACTCGTATCACATAAAAAAAAAAAAAAAAAAAAGTTCAGGACAATATAGTCTTTTCTATGGTTAAAATATAATTATTGTATTTTACCGGACCATATGAAGTGTGACAATACACTTGAATGAGTGGTTAAAGGCAAAATAGGGAAAATAAGTCACAGACATTTATTACACAGGAACCGGTCGACGTATGGGGAGTTACACGTCGACTGGTTCAGGTCATCCAGTCGACGTGTGGCAATTTTACGTCGACCGGTTCTGGGTTATCCAAACTCAATACACCAACATTAATAACTAATCACCCAACACACCATACCCACGTACATATTTAAATACATTTCAACATTTAATACAATAACAACAATAACAATGTTAACATAATTTACAACACGTTACATACAATACACTAAATGATTTAGTGTAATTAAGCATAATTACATTTCCCCAATGGTCATATACAAAATAAATCTAAATATTTCGCATGCTACAAAAGGATATACTTTGGGTCAACACTTTACAAAATGAGACTTAAATACAAAAGATAGCAAAAAGAGACATTCTTCTAATCCAAGCTAAAGCTATGGTGGATTGTCGTCCGCTACTTCTGTTCCAGAACCTGAAAATGTTAAAATAATAGGGTGAACTAAACGCTCAGTAGGAAGTGTCTAATATACACTTCTTATGACCCCGTGAATTCACGGAAAGAACAAGTAAAAGAAAACAGGATCATAGCATAAGGGTACATGGCAGCAACTACAACGACAAGTATATAACAATTGTTACCCAAACACATACACACCATATATTCTAATGAAGTGCAATGTCATGCAAATGTCACTCCCCATATTCGAAACATTTCTGTTTCAACTTTCAAACCGTTATTATAATCCGACCTAAGGCACTTCCAAGGCGTTACGAAATGAGGATTGGCTAATAATCCACGACCACAAGGCACCTCCAAGGCGTTGCATCCGGCCTGGTTAGCTCAATCATATTCCCCTCTAGACTACACTAACACCACGGACCACTAGGCGCCTCCTAGGCGTCCGGGTTTTCGCAAACACTTTTAGAAAATTTTCATAACTTTTCCCAAAACAATTTCACTTGTTTTAAAGACATTTTTCCCCTTTTTCTATCCCAATGAATGCATGGAATGTTTCATACTTCAATTGATCAATTCCACCATAAAACTCTCACACATGCTATATAACATCAACTTTGCATAACAAGCATATAAGACATGGATTCAACTTCATGTAAGCATGTTTAAATACTATAAAACAACTAATAATTAGACACATATATTCCAAACCTATCATTTAAGCAATTTTTACAAGAATTTATACTAATTGAACATGCTAGACATCAATTCAAGTTATAAAACTCACAAAAGTACAAGAAATCATGCATTAGAACACCCCTACCTCAGTATAGATGAAAACCCCCAAAACTCCAAATCAAAGACCTAATTTTCGAAATTCCTAGGATGCACCAAAGTTGCAGTTGCTTACATCAACTTGAATATCTCACTGAACTCTTCGATTTATCGTAAACGGCACCCAAAATTTCCAAGGGATAAAGGAAAAATAAAGGTTTGTAACTTGAAGCAAAATGGGAAAAGAAAAAGAAAATGAAAATGAGGGGAAGAGAGTTTTACGGGGAGAGAGAAAGTGGAGGCCAAAATGTGGCCTCTTGGTCACATAGATCAATAGTGGTGGGTCCCACCACACAATTTTCTTTTTGACTTTTCTTTTTCTTTCTATCACACACACATATATGTATACAACTATACAAAATGGCACACAACCACATTAAATATGCACAAAATAATTATGTATGGTATGTAATGAACCCAAAATAAAATTCCCGTACACAACGATTCCGGTAACGAGTCCCACCCGAGACTATTCGGCCCAAAAAATAGAGAAAAGTTGAAATGACAACCGGTGCATTTCCAAGAATCCTTAACTCAAGGAAATGTCACACCTAACTCTCTAACACAGCCGGCACACCACACAATGTCCGGCACGCAAAACGAGAAAAAGATGAAACTACCCCGAAAATCAGAAAATTCCAGAAATTAAAAAATGACAAAATTCAGGAACATTACAAATCCTCTCTTTTTTGATTTATTGGTTTTGTAACGATAAAAGTATAGAGTTTTGTCAGCCTCTCTAACCATCAGATTATAGAAGCTAACAACAAACCCTTTGTAACAAGAATTTACCATTTATATGTTAATTATACAATGATGTCGTTTGAACCCGCTTCAGACATGATGACTAATTAACTAATCTTCGAGTAAAGAGCCTCTACTATGTGTTATGTTTACTTTCACTTAATTTTTGCTTCTTCCACTCCGTCTAAAAGAGTAACTAGGACCAATTTAGTCACGTTTTCATGTTCCAATTGAACACTTCCGTTTTAAATTATTCTCAAAGGTGAAGATTATTTTCTTTATCAAACATATGCGGATCCAATTGTGATCTTATAATAAGAATAAGAGATCTTTCTCGATCAATCCCCTTGCCCTTCATTCTTCGTGAATCAGAAAGTCGAGAACCAGAAAGTGACGTTTTCGGATGACGCTAATAACCAGCGAATAACAAGTGTTTTTCCTTGTGTGGATCATATTTCAATGGAAACTTGATGAGTCAATCTACACGTTTTCCTTTTACAACTATATTGGGAGTTACTCGACGTTGATGTAAAAACGATAGTGGATTTGTTTGTCTTTTGTTGAATCTTTTTCACGATGGGGGATATTTTAGTTGGTAAATTAACACCCCAAATGGTAAAAGAATCGTCGATTATAATCCGGAAATGATTTGACGTAGGTGACAAAGTAGTTGGAAGACATGAAAATAAATGTATTATTTGCTTTTTTGAAAATAGAAATATTATATATATATATATATATATATATATATATATATATATATATTAAAGAAAAGTAAACAAATCAATGAGACATATATTTTTGTTTATAATGTCTTGAAATATAAATTTTGACTTTTCAAACATTTCAAAAATTATCTTAATTTAGTGGCTAATAAATGGACAACTAATTATCTGTCATGAAATAACTAGTCTGAATTTCTGATAGCATTAAGTAATACAAAATTAAGTGGATGCATTCACTTTAATTCGCGTCGTGGACCACTTAATTAGGAATTAAGATCAGGCGTCACATGCACCACTGTACATTCCAGTATCAATATAATAATAATTAATGGACTTAATAGAACGCATGTAATCATGGTTTCTAGAGGAACCAAGGAAAGCCGAAATTCCAATTTAGCTTTAATTATTCAGTTTAAAAAAAATTGATACCACTCAACCAAACAGTACCTACATGTTTACCTGCTGGCCTAACTCATTATTCAATTTATTCATATCCCGTTTTATTTATGAAATACTTAAAAAAAAAGGTTTTCATCACTCACAACCAACTCAACCACAATTTATAAATAACAAGTAGTGTAAAAAAACTTGGCATGCAATTCAATTGGTTTAAAGTTGCAGAAGAAAGTGAAATTTAATCAACCTGATGTTGACGCAAACCAGCCATAGAACATCGTAGGCACATGCCCAGTGAGAGACTAATTAAAATGTCAAATATGAGGTACCAATTCAACAAGTGAAGGAATGTCTTGGATGTTACAAAAGTTAAAAATGTCAAACACGTTTTAGAAATTATAAATGACAACCAATCCACACTATTCCATATGGTATAAGTCCTCTTTTTCAAATGGGTAGACGGAGTGTTCGAGTCTAAAAAAATTTTGAACTTAGAGACTCGTCCTCTTTTTCCGTCCCAATTTTTAATCTTTATCCCAAATTCGCTGCACTCGTAAGTTGTAGTGACAATTATTTGAAGGATATACACTCCACGGAACCTTGTTAGAAACTTAAAAAGAGATGGAATGTGAATAATTGGGAAATCGAACTCAGAAGAAAGGTATCTTTTAGAGCTTTATGCAATAAAAGGAACTTGTTGGCTTCACCTTCAGTCTATACTCAAGTAATCTAAATTTAATAAAGCAGTTATCATCAACCACTCTTCAGTCTCTTCCCATATGCATCGTGTATAGAAGTTTGTTTGGTAGGATTAAAAGCACATACTTCACCAACTTTCTTAGAATACAGACTCTAATGTAATTAAGAATAGTTCACCAACTTTCTTATAATACAGACTCTAATGTAATTAAGAATGTGTATATTGTTATGTGCAATATACAGTGAAACTCTTTGATGTTTCAAAGTTGAAAATCTTACATTTCTTTTAAAAAAATAATAATAGTAAGAATAATAAAAAAAACAAAAAAAATATGAAAATGTTTAATGCAGCAAAATACTGGACAAGTAAGAAACCCAAGCAAGATTAAGTATGGCCTATATATACTCAACAAGCCAGACTACCGACAGACTTTCATGAAAACATAAAAAATAAAAAAAATAAAAAATAAAAAAATCAGCTTAACAAGCATAACTGGTTTAAATTTTATGAAGATCTACCAATTGATGCCATATTAAACCCTTACATTCTGGTTGAGCATCTGTGGACTCCCCTTTTTCTTTTATAAGAAAGCGTCCTGGTCTGATGTCTCTTACGCAACAATATGGTTCGATAAATATATGAAATATGTGATACAAATAAAAGAAAGAGAATAAGCTGATGCATGTTTATCTTACTATACAATCATCTTTTCTTGCCTCTCTCTTGAAAACAAATAAGTTACAGAAGAGGAATAATAACATGGTAACATTTTTCTGTACCCTTTCACAATCCTGCAATGACATAAACTGTTAGAAACGGCACCAAAGCAATATCTTTTGTTTTTTGTGAAGGAGATGGAGACTATAAATCAGAGGCTAAAATACAATATCTACAGAAGAATTATCCAAAAACAATGAAATTTACAACAGTCTGACCGAATTTGCTCAACGCAAGGGCACAGTAGGACTTCTTAAGATGGTCACGATTTCAAAATTCCTATATCTCTCATCTTGTTGATGATTTGAGATGCATCATTTAGTCTATTTGCTCTTTCATAGATGCTGGCAAGAACCAGATGGAGCTCTTTCTTGTTGATGTTGGGATCAGAGTCCAGCCTCTCAAAAAGTGACTGAACCATCACAAAATCCCCTCTCGCGCCATAGATACTCATCATCTGAAAGTGAACTTCATCTGGAAAAACACAACCCTCATCCTGCATCTCCCTATATACGGAATCCGCCTTCTCAAATTCACGCAACTTTCCATAAGCATTCAAGACAAGAGCAATCATATTAGAATCAGGAAAATATCCTGCTCCTCTCATCTTGTCAAACACCTCAATGACATTAGTGTGCTTTCTGTTATTTGAATAAATTTGAATCATACACCCAAAGACAGATATGTCCTTCACTTCCCCAGCATCGAAAGCCTGTCGAAACACCCAAGTGGCCTCTTCGATCCGTCCAGCTCTAGCAAGGATTGTGATCGCAGTCTGCCTGGCGATGTTGTCTGGGCGCTTAAGCTCATGGAGCAGTCGCTTAGCATGTGCAACGAGGCCTGCCCTCTCATAAGCCACAATCATTGTCTGATAAAGAACCTGATCAATCTCAACCCCAGATGTCCTCAGCTTCTGAAACAGCTTTGCTGCACGATCCAATCTTCCTGCCTTACCCCATATTGATATTATGGTTGAATAGGTAATGGCATTGGGTTCAATCCCTCTCTTCTGCATCTCTTGAATAAGATTATTAGCTTTTTCATGCTCAAGAGACTTCCCATAAATTTTAATCATAGTATTATAAGTAACAACATTCTGCTCAATATCTTTCCTCTGCATCAATCTAAAAAGATGTATGGCTTCACCGAAAAGCTCAGCCTCACCATATACCCTCAAAAGGGTATTGTAACTAACGACATTCGGCTCAATTCCCATCTTCCTCATGCTCCAAAACAGCCTATCAGCTTCTTTGACCATATCAAGATGTCCATACACATCAATCATAATATTGCATGTCGTAAGATCAAGCGGACAATTAACCTCGTTCATCTCAGAAAACACCGAAAGTGCCTCAACAAACTTTTGGTTCTCAACATACATGTTCAAAAGTGTGGAATGGCTTACAGTATCCGGTACAACACCCACTGATCTCATCTCTTGAAGAAGCAAGCGCGCTTCACGGAAAAGCTTAGCCTTCCCAAACACATTAATCATCGAATTATAAGCAACAAGGTCAGGCGAAATACCCAACCGCTTCAATCTCGAAAAGATTGATATGGCCTTGGAATAGTCACAAAGTTTACGAGACAACTCGATTAAATTGCTATACAAAACAAGGTCACCTGACACATGGTCCTGTTCCATCTGTTGAAGCCAAAACAATGCATCATCAAACATACCCTCCTTGCCAAAATGCGTTATAAGCGTTGAATAAGTGTACCTATCCGGCGAGAGCGCTCGTTGACGCATTTCATCGAACAGGCCATGTGCAAGTCGCCACTGCTTCGCACGAAGCACATTACGTATAACGACGTTGTAAGCAAACACAGAGGGTTTATATAAGGCCTCTTCATTGATCCAATCGAGAAGCGCAATCGATCTTTGCCAATCTGATTCGCGCGAGAGAAGGGTGACCATGAATCGTATTGAAAGTTGTCGACCTTTGTAAGGTGACATTAGAGCGAACAGTTCGTGCTCGTCTTGGGTCAACCCAATTGAGGATAGAAGCTCGTCCATGTCGACACTGTGATCTAAATACACGACCTGTTGTTTTCGACGGCGATAAACTTGGTGAGAAGAAGATGAAGACGGCGTCGTATTTTGCGATGTTTTTCGCCAGACATCTCTGGTTGAGGAAGCTGAAAGTGCAACGACTATGAAACATCTTCGGAGCTTCTTAAATTTCTTGAAGGGTACGATGTTGTAGATGTTGGTTCCGATACATGGTAACAAAGAGGACGGAGTTGCAGATAATGTGTGTATATCCGTACTATATCCATATGTCCTCAACATATCAGTGCTGACTTGTGACTTCACCGTTCTTTACAAGTCAAGTGGAGGAGAGAGGTCGTTCAATATACTACTCAATACGCTCGGGTGCCATGAAAAAAGGAAATACTTAATAAGAGTAATAATTAATTAGACTGATACTATGAAATTACTACCTCTAATGTTTTATTTTTCTTAATGCTTTATTTTATTTATTTATTTTGGAAGGAATGATTTCAAGAACGAGTATCATTACAGTACAGTTTCTGATTAATTTTTATTTTTATCTTATATAATATATGTATAAATATTTGTATGTTTTGTAGATTATGTTAAAGATTTTTATAATTTTTAAACGTTATGAACTCTACCTATGATGTTGACTTGGCCAAAAAATTGAATTTTTTAAAAGTCTAGAGGTTTTATAATTTCAAATTCGGATCCTGTCAAGTTGATTATTTGGAGGTATGTTAAATTAATGAGGAACAATACTATTAAGGATAACAAATTACGACACGACATGGTAATACGATACGAACACGACACGAGTTAAAAGGATTTGGATTTAATATAAACGGATTTGAGTCATAAAAGGATCGACACGATTAACTTATTTACTGAATCGTGTAGGGTTATAATTGAGGGGTTCAACCCGTATAATTCGACCTATTTAACTCCAACATATTATAATCGTGAATATGACCTATATAATATGTTATTTGTTTAAATTCAATTACTATGCATAATTAAGTCATTTTAAGATAAACCTTATCTATGCCTTATAGTTTTTCTTTTTATTTTGAATATGTGTGATTAATTATGATAATTTTTTTTCTATTATTTAGTATTCGATTAAATATTAAATGTCTTATTTTGATAAACAGATCATTAAACAGTGTTGAAAATTTTTGACACGATTATTAAATGGGTTGAATTTAGGTTTACCTATTTAGTATAATACTCTTACATCAATACAACACCAACACGAATTGTTACCCCTCAATAATATGTTACCTAAAAAAAAATCATAGTTTTAAAAAAGAAAAAAAGAAACAAATATGGTTAGATATTATTATTATTATTTTCAATAGTAATCAAGATAGGAAGTTCACTAATCTAATTTTTATATGAGTAGAAGTTGACGTGATCCCCACATTAAGAAAATTTATAAAATCGCATAATGATTATACGTTAAGAATATTAACGACATCCGTCATGTCAATAAGAGGTACCATTCCAAACCTCGATTAATCAATTGCTGAGTCCAAAATTTGGAAAAAAAAAAAAAAAAATACATAGTAAATCTCACTTGTTTATATATATATAAAAAAAAAAATGAAATGTGGAGCTAAAATTTAATGTTGTGAAACCTTTATAATCACCCAAGCCCTTGCATGAATATTATTGTTATTCAAATGTGCATATGATGCTAACAATTTCTTTAAGAGTTAAGAGGATGTTCTTTTCTATGTTATTGTTCTCCACTGCTCTTTGACGCATTTGTAAAAGTGATATATATATACACACACAAAAGTCTTACATCATATACACTTGATGCTCCTCTAGTACTATTGATAATTTTCCCATTGTTTTTCTTTAGGGCAGATTACCAGATAATTGGCCCATTTGGACAGCGACATGTCATCATTTTCTGAATTGAGCCATTTTGTAAACATGGATGGACAGTTTTCTATAGTGCGCCTCACATCTTTTGAACAAAAAAAACAATGTAAAATTCAAGAATGTTCATTTCATTCAAACCAAAAAACAATTCACGTTTCTTAGTAATTGAATGCAAAACTGTGGAAATAGAAATTGGCAAGGAATGTAAAAATAAATAAAGCAAAGAAAAACCAACAAATCCAAAACAGTACTCTTTATCGTAGGAAAAAAAGAAAAACTAAATCCAAAATCCTCCAGCGATTCAATTAGTTGACACTTGTGAGGCTGAAGCATGCAGCAGCGCTCTTGAGTTCACTTTTTGACGCGTGTTCATGAATCAATTGTGTTGTATCCTTCAACGATGACTCCGAGCTGAATATAAAATTCATTAAACATGCTTATTTCCACAAAAGAAAGACTTTAGTTTTCTTTTATCAATAGATGTAAATGTAAATAACACACACACACACACACACACACATATATATATTCTAATGCAATCTGACAATAAAACCAACTTGATTAAGAAAACAGTACTTACCTTGACTCACATGCTTCCTTGGATTCAATATAAGATTGTCTGTCATCAGCAATCGTATCAAAAGGTATATCATCATAATCTTGAGAAACTTCTGTTGCATGTTGGATAAAAAATGGCTGTGAAGGAACCATCTGAGACGTCTGATTAATCCCCATTCCCATTCCCATTCCCATTGAACTACCACCACTTGCCATGTTATTATAATAAGGGTACTGTTGGACCAACAATGGCTTTGACATATTATTATTATTATTATTATCATTAGATTCAAAATATACCCCATCCATTTCATTCCTACCAAAATGGTTCATAATTGGGAAATTAGACATTCCATGATGTTGAAAAATTGATGAGTCCTCACTGGTTGGACTAATCCCCAATTGTAACTGCGAAGATGGAGAATCAAAATGTGGACTAGGGTTCATTTGGTTATGGCATTGTTCTCTGCAGACCGTGAGCCTAGCGTGCACATACCGAAGCTCTTCAATGGCTTGTCGGAGTTGATACTGAAGTTGGCAAATGATACCCCAACATCCGTAGACCGGACACTTCTGGCGAATATCGGATTCATATATAATAGATTTCATGGCCTCGTCTTTTTGTTCGCGGCTATTGCATTGTTTCAGTATTTTCATAATGTTGCACACCCCAAAAAGCCGGTGTGCATTCTGGAACATCTTAGGCTCGTTTGCCGGGAAATATGGCGCCAGAGCACACTCCGACGAGCACTTCCTTCTCTGGTACTTGCATGCAGCACAGGCTTGGCTTGTCCCTCCTTTCACAGTCATTTTGGGCACAAGTAGTAGTGATCTACATGCAACAAGTGAAAGAGATAATAGCAGCAGTACTAGTGCTGTGAATGGTAGAAACAAGGTCACAGAGGATGAGAAGAACAGCTGCATTGATAACAAATAATTAACAGCATGTGTGTGCGCAAGTGTGTGTGTGAGCTGTTTGGATCATATAGACTTGGTAAAAGTTTTGAAAATCCGATTCTAGTGGCAGATTTGGTTTGACTTTGAAGCATTATGGATTTTCATACTTCGAAACTTAGCACGGACACATTGGTATTGGGATTGGGTTGGTTGACCTATCACAGTGGGACACATTATCAAATACAATCCCAATACCAACCCTAAGAGGGTGTTTCCGTAATTTTGTTTCTAATTAATTTGTAACCCTAAAAGTTGTTGGGAGGTTTCATTGTGATTGAGTAGTAACGGAACTTCTTGACTGTTTCAAGAAACAGTCGTGAGGATGATTTCGATGGATTTTCCTTATATAACATCAAATAATTAATATGAATCCACTCTAATTCCGACTTGTGATTTTAAATTATTTGAATAAAGTGAACGTTACATAGGAAGGTGGCTCATTCAAAGACACTTTCATGACACGTAAGTTGATAGATTTTTTTCTTTTCTTTTTTATTTTTGGTAAGTTGATAGATTTTTTTCTTTTCTTTTTTATTTTTGGTAAGTTGATAGATTTTCGCTGTACCTGAAGATAAACGGTTATGTAAACATGAAATTACGAAATCATTCGTTATATATAGTTAAGTGAGCTAGAGGTTGGGCCAAGTGAACATGAAACCCAAACCATGAGTCCACAATTTCAAAATAGGGTTTGGGTACCATACTAATGTGAGTCTGCGGGAAGTGGCGGACCCTAATCCGTATTAGCCATTTTGTTGTTTGGAAATGGTTTATGCGGGGAAAATTACCAAAAATAAAAATAATTATTATAAGAGTTGTTATAAGAAGATGAACAGAAAATTGATTATAAAAAGTAATTTGTTTGTAGAAAAAAATTACTATCCTCCAACTACAAGATAACCATCATATTAACCGTAGCACATTTCGTTTTCTCATTAAGCCAAAAAAAAATCCCTTTTCTTTCATTATTCTTTTATATGCCAAAACTCCATTTTTTTTTAGTGGGGCCATGGTTTTATAATATGACAGATGACATCCTTGTGGGGTCAGCCACGATTATATGTTTCTGGGCCCATCAAAGATCGTGGACTCATTCATTATCCATGCTAACTTTCAACAATTTTTAGTGTGATTAGACTAAAAGATGACAAAGGTGATATTTTTTGGATTTAATTGCTCATCATTAATCAACTATACTTGTATTACTTAAAATTTTATTTTATATTAATTGACATATTCCTTTTTAGTAATATTTAAATAAATTTACGCTATCAAATATAATTAATTAGATAAACATTTAATTTTGTGTTATCAAATGACACCTCACTAAATACTTACACAAAAATTTTATTTTCTTTTTAAAAGTAAACAAAAATAAAAAGGAATAATTATCTATGAAACACGGACATTCCTTTCAAGGGTCCCGTACCAGTGTCAGACATGTGTCTGACATGGATACGCATGTCCGACACTTCTGTGAAGTATCCAGAAATTATTTTTTATTGGACATGGGGTTGACACGTGGGGGACACGGGGTGGACGACTTAGGACACGCTGAGGACATGTACCGGACACGGCGGGGTATATTTTGTAAATTTTTAAAGAAAATGGGGTACCTAATGTAATTTTAAAAGTTTAACTCTTTTGACTCGTTTGTCTGAGATTATGAACTTCTACTTTTATTAAATTTTATAATTCCATTATATTTATTTTTTTATTTGATTCGTTCATCTCGGTACTGGAATTAAATAAACTTTTATACCGTAGCAAAAAAAACAGAAAGAAAACAAAACAATTATATTTGTGGATGTGTGTAAAATGTAAATTATAAAGTTGTTAATAACTTTGCTTTGTTATTAATTAATTGAAGTATTTTTTGGGGGAGGTTAGATTTATGATATTTTGGATTTTGAATATATATATATATATATATATATATATATATATATATATATATATATATATATATATATATTATTTTATAGGTGTATTCCCGCCGTGTCCGTGTCTTATTTTTTTGAAATTTGTTGTATGGCTATATCCGTGTCGTGTCGTACCCGTGTCCTGTATTTGTGTCCGTGTCGCCGTACATATCCGTGTCTTGTTGTATCCGTGTCTGTGTCCGTGCTTCATAGGTGATTATTTTCTTATCCTTGTCGATTACTTATAAAATAAAAATAATAAATTAAAGATAAATACTCCTCCCTCTTCCCTCCCAAAATGGAAAAATAAATAAATAAAAATTATCTCATTCCAAAATTTAATTTACTATTTTTTATAATATTTTCAAACTATATAACCTTTTAACTAAACAAGTGTATTAATTACGAAACAAGAGCATATTTTAAGCTAGGGGTGCACACGGTCCGATTTGGACCGAATTGGGAGTTTTTTGGGACCAAACCATTTATAACAGTTCCATTATTTTTGAAACCAAACCGAACCATAATACCCATGGAACCAAACCAAACCAAACCGTAAAAAACCGGTTTGGTTCGGTTCGGTTTGTCAGTTTTGGTTGATTTCCTTTTTATTTTATTTTAATTCAAAGGGGACAGAGTTAATAATAATAAATAAATAAATCAACTAACATTGATATAACATGCAAAAAGAAGAATTTTAAGAAGAAAAAATGAAAGAAAATTGAGATATATTTGAAAGAAATGTAAAGAAAATTGTGATATATTTGAAAAGGAAATTTTGACTTTTTAAAAAAAAAAAATTTAAGGAATTTAAAGAACAAAAGAAAGAAAAAGTTAAGATAATTTTAGAATTTAAAAATTTAGGGGGGCATGTGAGAACTTTACTTGATTTAAGTTTAGGGTATAATATATATATATATATATATATATATATATATTATAACATAGTAACGGTTCGGTCCGAGTTGGTCTGGTCCAACAGGACCGTAAATCAGGACCGAACCGAAAAATTACGGTTCCATAATTTTGGACCCAGGATTGGACCAAACCACTATATAACTAACCCAAATCGTCCAATTCAGTTCGATCTGACTCGATTTTTCAATTTTTCGATTTATCGAATTTTTTGAACATCCCTATTTAAAACTTCACTCTTATTACCTCATGTAAAGTCATCGAGAGCTTTAACGAATGCACTTCTTATGTGGTTATGTGTAGTACTTTGATAATTGAGGCTTTTGAGAGTCCATTGCCAATGAAGATTCTCTCCTAATCCGACCACAAAATCTTCATTCATTGGTTCTTTGTTTCCATTTCCATTTTGTCGTACACTAAAAGTTAATGAACAGTTTAATACTACTGTGTAGTACTAGAGACTGAAAAAATTAAGGGCAGGGTATTTTTGACATACATTATTAATGAATAATATGTATATTCTTTGCCAAAGTGTTATTTTTTTTAGTAATTTTAGTACGAACAATAATGAAATTTTATAAATATATATATCAAAATGAAAAAAAAATAGTAGTGTATTTTTAAACTACTTTCTTTACCCACACATGTGGTTCTATCCTTTTTTATTTTTTATTTTTAAGATAAGTAACCTGGTCTATTTTTAATATACAATTATACAAATGTTGCAATCCTCCTAACAATTGTGAATCATGTGGTTTCATATTAATTAAACAACATGAAGCGGCAAACACAACCAAAATGTGGGGCCAGCACAAGATCCCCTTCTAAATTATTTAAGGGTTAATTACAAAAGGTTATGTGTAAGTATAAAACACCTTATAGTATTGATTTAATGCAAATAGCCTCCTGGACACATCAAATGATTATAATACTTTCAATTCAGTAAAATAAATTTATAAATATAAATACATACTCATATAAAATGATTATTTTATTCAATTTATGTAGGAGTTTATTTATTTAAGACAAAAATAAAAGAATAAACTACAATGTCCTTCCCTAAAATTTAGTCTAATTGCAAATAATGACCATTTTTTTTTTTTTTTTGCAATGTGTCCTCTTAATCAAAAGAATGAAACTCTCTCTGTAACACTGGTGAAGTGGGTCTTCCCTATCACCCATTCTGTTTCCATGGCCATGGCATTGCTATTTCTTCAAATTAAGCTATCCAATCGGGGGGGTTGCTTCATGCATGTTGCCCCATTGCTGCAAAGTCATCCAGTCGGCAGCGAAGGCCAAGCATCTGATTGGATTGGGGTAAATCATGCGATTAGGGCAGAAAGTGAAGGACAACAAGTCGAAGAGGGGTATGGTTCCAGAGATGAACGGAGGGATGATGATGATATATGATGCTGGCAGCAAAAGCAGAGTCCATCACCTTCTTTTTCTTTTAAAGAATAAACGAAATCTCTTAAACTGCGTCGACTCTGTTATTTGGTTTGCGTTTAAGCGTAGCTCTTCTACTCTCTGCCTCGCAGCTGAGGTATGTCCAATAACGAGTTGCCCAAGATTACGACTCACCAAATAGATCTCAACAACCCAATCGCCGAACTCTTTGTTGATTCGCCGTTCGATTTGCAATCAAATCGCCGGGATACCTTAATCTCTTTCTATATATATATATATATATATGTACACATGCAAAACAGGTTTATATATATCCTAATCTTGATTTTTTCGTGAAACTCCAAGCAAAATCTACAAAATAGTCCTTTGGCTAAATCGAATCAAATGGGTTCTTCTACACCTTTATTGAAAGCAAATCAAAGCCCATACTGAAAGAAACCATAGCTAAACCCATTTGATTCATATGACCATAGCAGTTGAGCACCCAGTGGAAGTAACTGGCCAAATACGATCTGGATAGCCAGTACATGAAGAGGCATGCCTTTGAGAGAATATGTTGTTGGTATAATTAATTCACACATTAGGGTAAAAAGGTTTTTTAAATTTTTTTATATTTTACAACTAAAATTAATATAATATTGAAGGGCAATATCAACATTTGTATACTTTTTTAGGGACTGTTTGAATCCAATTTTTTACGGGTGACATAGTCAATTTTTTTAA